TTGCCTGTGATCATCTTGGAGGAACAACTATCATACCTGTTGAGAACCCTCGTGAGGAGAGACACACTGCCCATCATGGCTCGGGGATACGGCCGTCGTCTGTGATAATCGTAAAAACTGGGTCGGTGGAAGTTGTAGATGTCGTTCCTGTCTTTATAACCATCCTCCTCTTCCTCCTCTGTCGTTTCTAGTGCGCTAAGGGTGCCAAGGGCGAGCTCGCGGAACAGGAGACAACCTCCGACCACGATGAGCATGGCAGTGCCCATCCTAAACAAATCAACGATGATCGCATCTGTACAAGGAGAGGTGTTTGAGCCGAGTTGCTAACACTGTTATATTCAGCAACTGCTCCAACAGCTATAAGTTATCACTGGGTGAGGCCACTACCAGCATTTCTTTTCGTGATTCAGAAAAGGTTACAAGCAAAGACAGAAACAAGACATGGATCATAGATGGCAGAGGGGAGGGAGGGTGAGAGAATCAGCTGTACACGTGATGACTACTTGGAGTTTCTGCTTATCACTTCTTATAACAATACTTCGTATCTGCTAACACATATTAATAACAACAACATACAGTTAATCTAACAACACTTGCGACTAATGACCTTAAGTACCCACATCCACTGCGTATCATCGTCCATATAAGATACACATTGATCTTGACATCTGTTATCACTTACGAAAGACAGTTACTGGTTTCTAACATTTGCAATAATTATTCATCATAATCTGCATAGTATTGACTATAAAATGAGCTAGACTCCACATACTGAACATTTTGGTAACCAGGACAGATATGCTATCAACACTTAAAGATTTCCTGACAGAAAGTGAACTTCAAATTTCATATGTTTAGTTGGTATCAGTTATTCATAAACAAGAAGCTCTCTTTTTTTTAACCCGGCATTATTGAAGATGTTTTCGGGATTGTAATTATTTTTTTTTAACGAGAAAAAATTCATTAGGTGTGAAAGTAAGGATAAACTACTATGAAACACTTAAGAAAAGCAAGAGGCTGTTCTTCTGGGAGACTTTTTATGTTTGGTATGATCCAGTTAATATTACCGGGACCATAACTCACTATGCAAGTCGGTTTTTTTTCCTTTTCTTCGCTCAGTTGTTGGTTTCTCTTAAAATCAGACAGAGCTTCTCTATGCATTCTCTTAATTAGCCGGGGTGTGGGCCTAAAACACACCTTACATTAAAACCTTTCAGTAACCTGGTGTATATCTAAAGCAATTCATATAGAAACCATAGCAACTCTTTCTATAATGAACCTCCACCGTGCCCACCTGATATGATCTTGTACTCTGGCTCCAACACGTCACTTTTATTTGATGTAGCGGAGGAGCAAGTCGCCAGGCAGGCCACCACCAGTATCGTCACCAGCGCCCGCGTCATCCTTCACCAACACCAGAAGAGGAACTCTTGTAGGACGTGATGCTGACAGATCTGGTCAGGGAGAGAAAGAGCAAGAACTTTCGATACACAAGTATAATGGAAACTGGTCGAATGTTTACAAGGGAAATTTGAAAAGTATGAGAGTGAAAATAAGTACACTTTGAGGACAGTGCCTGGAGAGGACATCTCAAGTGACTTGTCAACCAGGAGTCAGTGCTAAGACTCACAAAAAGCCGAAAATGTGACAGAGCTAACTCTTTCGGGGCGAGAGTTATGAACTCTTGGACTAATTTAAGTGTTGTGACGACACCGAGTGTGAATTCATTTATAACCAAACTTGACCAACCCTGGAGCAAGTTCATGTTCAGGTACAATCAAAGACAAAGTCGTGTCGCGGTTTTGTCCGAAGATTAAATATAACTCTTGAAACATTAGAGAGAGCCCCCTACCACAAGGCAGAGCGCACCAAAAGTTTAGCCCTTTGGCATATGTTTTAACCAAATTTCACGACACGACTTTTGTATTTCACTGTACTTGTACTGTACATCCGGGAGCCAATGCATGACCAGAACTTGCTAACAGTTGTTCATCGATGATGTGCGGATGTTTTTTGAAAAAAAAAAAGATACCGGCGAGTGAACTACCTTGTATAAAGTAAACTCTGATTTCTAACTTTATGCCATAAAACAAGTACCACTGAAACCTCAAAAGGATAAACATAAACATAACAAGCACTACTACTTCTGAAAAGGGTGCAGTGGCAGAATGGATGCAGCGCTTACCTCCTGTCATAAGTCACTGGTTCTCAATCTAATTTTGCATTCAGAGAAAGCGATGGTGGTTGATCTCAGTGCCGGCCACGCTGTCTTATTGTGTACCATAAAAATAGCTTAGTCCACGGTGTGCTTTATCCACTTACTTTTATTATTGATGATGAAAATCTGAGACGTTAATATTCTATTGTAATTTTGTTCTGTCTAGTGACCATTTCTCTAAACTCTGAAAGAACATAAGGCGAAGAAGAGAACTGGAAAGTAAAGGTTCATTTTGTAATTCCCTCCACGACGTCACCCAGCTATTACAGACCACAGCGACCCAGTGATCACACCAGGCGGTGAAGTCTAGATCTTGTCAAGGTTCACGACAAGAATTGAGAATTTTATAAAGACGCATGACGATAAGTTCAGAGAGACGTGCCTTCCTCTTCGTGAAATTGTAGCAGTTTTTTTTATAAACACTCAGAGACGCCTATTACACTATTCGAAAAGCAAAATTCTATCAAACTTGATGACGTATCTAGAAGAATGAGTCAAACTATGTGCTTGTCACTATCTATAAGAAGAATCTGGATCAAATATTGTTGAAACGGTTGGTTAATTCCCAATTAACCATGTTAGTTCACATATATTATATTGGGCTTTAGTAACGAAACCCAATTGAAGTTTCTTGTTTTATTATAAAAGTATTATGTTTATATAATTCCTGAGTGTAGGTCAACCGTAAGTTCCACTATTTATGAGTGATGAGAAAGGACGGCGTTTATGTAATATAAACGTGGATCAACGTCCGTTCGATATTAGTTGGTGTGAGTGACTTTGAGTAGTGACCCATCGAGGGAGAACGGAATTGGGAATTCCTCGAGGGAAGACGAGCCATCCACTGTGGCTCTCAAATAACGTCTTCCTCTAGTCAAGGATATCAAACTACTGCTCGCTTCAGGTGGCCAGAGAGCCGGCTACTTATGCCTTTACTCAGCATAGTATGATGCAGCTTCCCTTGGGCACACCTTATCACGTGCATTGAACATGTCACCTCATAGCCAGTGGAAAGTTACAGGGGATGAATCTGAATATAAATTAGATGTAAGTAACCCATTTATATAATACTTTCTGTTGATGAGACAGGGGCCATTACATTGTCACCACATTAAAGATCTGGCAAATAGTTGAGTAGTACTAAGAACAAACTTCAATTTATTTCGTAAACTAGAGATAAATGCAAAATATATATTTTTATTCTTAAGGAAATTTATATCGATCCATATATAGGAACGATAAGACAAGCTAAAAAGGATATCATTATACCTAACCAAATCTAACGTAATTTAAGTATACTGTAGTTTGGTTATCACAACAAAAATAAAAACGTCTGTTACGTTTTAAGTTTCAAGACGATTTTACCTAATTAAAATAACACATTATGTTAAATATATATGTTTTATATTTAAGATGATTTCGTTTACACGTCTTCTGGTATCTATATATTTCACTACAGGTTCACACTACAGTACACAGCGTTGTTACCAGATGGCCTCATTGTTCTTACCTCCAGGGAAATCAACCAGTTTTACCAGGTAGTGACTTCACCGTCAATATCAAGAAGCACGTAATCCTATCACTAGTGTATGAGTGTGAAGTTCCACCCCAGTATACTGTAGATCCCTGAGGCGCGAGGGGCCTGCTACGTACACCAACACCCAGATTCAACTGAATGAAATTACTCTTCACCTGTCCAGTATCAAAATCACAATCTTAACGCTCTAAAGGTTGTGGTATATGATGGTATCAGTTAATAAATTTCCTAAAACGACGTTGCATAAATTTCGGCTTACATCTGAAACATTGACTGTATTAACCATTGTCAATAATACCTGTTTACTATAATCATTTGTTCTGGTGGTATATTGCATCCCGCCTCACGAGATCACCAACCCCCTGATGTTCCGGGTTATGAGGTGTCGAGTTTCAGTGCAAGTGTCCTCCCGGGAAGGTAACTCCAGCATATGATGGTATTAATAAAGTATAATTTTTATTATAAGTAAATAAATAAATAAATAAATAAATAAATAAATAAATAAATAAATATATATATATATATATATATATATATATATATATATATATATATATATATATATATATATATATATATATATATATATATATATATGGTATCTAAAGCCACTTCTTGGGGTTGTAGAATATGCTTATAAAATGGCCATCTTGTTCAGTGTGAACTAAAACTTATAATAAGTTTGTGGCAACAAAGCGCGTCTTGTTACACCACACCGGCAAGAGGTGACACCATTTCTCTATGAATTTACACACACACACACACACACACACATATATATACACACGCACGCGCGCGCGAAATTCTTGTTGAATAGGGAAATATTTCTGTATCTACTTTTATAACTCAGTGGTAAATCATTCGTATATGGTAAAATTTGTTCTGCTCCATTCATGGCGTCGTTTACTGCAATAAGATAGCAGAATTATGCCTAAAATGATTAGGTTAGGTTAGGTTGTATTAAATTATTCATTTATAAGTATCATTAATATCTAACTGATTGTTTTATGTATATATACTGCAGTATATACTAATAACATATCTAATCACATAACTATAATGGTTGCCCTTCTGGTACGAGGATGGCCGGCCCAAGGGCCACCTAGTCGTGAATTTGTTTAACGTGTAGAAGCTGTCGCCAACACAACAACCACACCCTAAATTAACGAGTTACATGACCCAGTGTCAAGGAATAATCCGAGAAGACCGGACAACTCGCCAACTCCACTGGCTAACCATTACCTCAGAACACGATCTGCAAATCGATTAACATCCGGGTCCCCAATTACTGCTGGGTAGATACAGGCAAATGGCGTAAAATGAAAACAAAACAAAACATAGTTTCACCTTGCTCGATAATCGAACCCGGGTCCACTGGCTTGCGAGGCGAGCATGCTGACCATTACACCACAGGTCCCCAAAATAACTAAAAAAATATTTTTTTTCTCGTGCTGGTCAAGCCCCGACCATTTGTTAGCTAGACCCCCGGACAACTCTTTCGGAGCTTCGCCAACACGTCGTATTTGTATTATTATATCGACCTAATTATATGTTACAAAGTCACTTGTGAGTTTTTCAAAGTTCTTTTTGATAATGTTTACTTATTCTAAAGTAAATGTCAACAAATAGATTACTTAAATAATACGAAAACAGACAAATAAAAATGGAACTTCACCTAATATATATTGTATGTTACACTAAACATGGATAATTGACGATTAGTGATAGCTTCTATGTATTTCTTTTTTTGGAAACGTTTTACAGGCCATAAACGATCCTGTAGATCATAAATACGTATTCATATAAATGAATACCTTCATACTAAACCTAACCTAACCTACTTAAAGTATAATTTAACCATCATATGACAGTAAACGACATTTTAACTGAAACAGACATAATTTTTATTATATACGAATTAATCTAATTAAGTTGTAATAATAAAACCAAAAAGTTCTCACTATTTGACTAAAACGACTGATGATTTGTAAAAGCTCAGTCGTAGACTATATAATCCTGGCCATTAAAGTAAATATGGATAATTGCCTAATATCGATAATTTCTATGCATTATTTTAAGCTTCTAACTAGCCATCGGAGATCATGTAATAATAATAGTAATAATAATAAACGGTTTATTAATAGAGTTGCAGACGGTGGCTGAAAATATACAAACTTACATGTAATTTAGACATAAAAATATACATTCGATACATTTACAGGGCTGACCCTCCTGTCCCACCACCAGTCCACCACCCCACGTCTTCACCCCTCACTGAGCCCACCAATGACCCTCCGTCTTGCAGTGACTGGAAAACAAGTAAACGGGGATGCAATCTCTCCTAAACCTTCATGACCCATTAAGACCTCACTCACGCCACACAGTACGGAGTGTTGTGGAGAGGAGGAAGTTCTCCACTGTTATACACTTCACCTCCAAAAACACACTTGTAAACTTTTTCATCATTTTTTTATACTTTTTTCTATGGTCAGTTCGTCAGTGAGTCACGTGTCTTGGGCCTCATCCTTGACGGACAGGATACAGCTCCACACCTATTATTTGCTAGTCTTCATGTCGGGAGAGAGTGACAGACAAACAGACACATAGACAGACAGAGGGACCGAGGGAGAAAGAATCTTTGTTTAAATTCAGCTTCTCTATCTTGCACAAGACAAGTCAAATAAGATCAGCGCTGTGTCACGGTTCTGTGTCTTCCATCCACTCATGTCAGTGTTGAAGCATCTCCGTGACACCCACACTCTTGACTCCCTATAACATTTTTTGATATTTTGTTTTATATATACACGTTATATATATATATATATATATATATATATATATATATATATATATATATATATATATATATATATATATATATATATATATATATATATATATATATATATATATATATATATATATACATGTTAGCTGTTTATTGTTGTCACGTAGAAAATGATAACGTTTCTTAGACATTTAGTTTTGTTATACATACGATGGTGATAATAAGGTCATAGTTACGTGTTCTCAAGCCACATCTGTAGAACCGCCAAAGGCTACCCAAACTCTACCTTATTATAAACGGGACATATCATAGATTGAATATTGAGTTTACATTCTGTAAATTTAAAAAATTTACAATTTAATTATTTTTAACAGTGCAGAAATATTAAGATGTTTATAAAAAGCTCTAACTGAGTTGATGTGTATTATGATTAACTCACAAACACAACAAAATATATTTATCAGATTGATCTCTTAGTCCACGAGTCTACTGCCCTGTATTATCCAGAATGTAGCGACGTTTGCCTTAACAATTACTAATTTGACCACATGTGAGTCCTGGTCTTATAGTATTATGGTGGATGTCAACGCGGGTTTACCACGTGTACAGTACACACGTGACAAATCAGTGATATCTTATGAGAACGTATTCACAAGTTCAGATTCAATGGCGAACAAAGCCAAGCAACCAACCTCCTTAATACAAGTTGGTGGTCAGAGTGCACATAAAAATACACCTGGCGTTGTCGATACTGGTTAGATGGATTAATTTCACAAATTCGGGAATTAGCTGGTTCCACACTGTGCCTGAAGGTGTATATATTGACTAACCAGCTGAACTTGCTGTAGGCAATTTGTTATGCACCCGATCTCCTTTTTAGTTGATAGGAAATATGTATGCTGTATGGCAGGCTAACATTTCCTAAACGCAACTGTTCAGGGTGTAGGATGTATTGAATAATTTTCTCTTTCAAATTTAGGTGAACGTTCTTGAGACATTCTCATATTTAACATGAATTCTTTTCGTTATCTGATTGGGAGGAATGTTCCCCTCCCCGGGCACCGACAAATGGCCAATTGAAAACAGCAGTTCTCCATTCACCAAAATAATCACAATCAATAATCAAGAGTATGGCAGAAAAACTAACACTCTCACTTCTGTTCCCTATTATTTATTTTCTCAGAACTTAACCGTACATATTCTATGGGAGATTAATTTCTTCTCTGTCAGTTATAAAGTCAGTCCAGGCATAACTGACAGTGTATCAACTATCTCTTGCTGACCCATTCTGTTGTAACGCCGTAATAACATTATAACGTCAATGTTGCTAGATCAGGTATTAATTTTTCTAGACCTCACACAATGAAAATTTAAAAGCATACGCTGGGCCGCCAGAACATTTGTATTCATGTTTTAAAAATAACTTGGATAGTTTAATTAATAATTGAAGGTATTGTTGACTTTATAGCTTTATTTATCCCACATAATTGTACACGGCATATATAAAAAAGTACTGTAGATACATATTAAGACTACCTGCCCCACCGTGAGCTGCCATCCTAAGCCATGCATGTCCTGGTTGGCCTATTCGGATATCCGGCCCTATGCAATATAAAGATATTGGGACGCAGACGTAGCGTAGGATGAAAAAACAAACATTTATACGAACAAAGACGCACAAGTTCATACAATCTCAAACTCACCATTGCACATATTCAACCAAAGAAACACACACAAAACACATACTACTGAAAAACGAACCAATCACGACACCAAGGTCAAAATTAACTCACTGAAGAATACCGAGTATTTATCCACAAGTTTCACCAACATGCCCATTATGAATCTTTGGATAATTCGTGTAATAAGGATAATTCTGGGTAATTTGAGGAGTTCCAGGTTAATATGTCAACCTGTCCTTTGTATCATGAGTTCTGAGTGGCTGGTCACCACAAAGGAAGCGCTGAATCTGTATCGAGAGTTCTGAGTGGCTGGGCACCACAAACGAAGCTCTGAATCAGGAGTCGAGCTTGGAGCCACATTTCTCTGAACCATCTGTGATTTTTGTTGATCAGCTGAATAAAAAACGTTTCCCATTATTCCCTGCAGAAGCAACTCAGTTTTTCTGTTCGTGAGCATTTACATGTAATATCCGGTCCTTGTCATTACAAGAGCGCATGTTAGATAGAAGTTTCGATCGGGTGGTTCAGTGCCTGGGAGTCGAGCTCTCAGTTGTCACTTTGGAAGGTATCAGTACTTTCTTATGGTGTCAAATTAAGCAAAACAAATATGGCCACGCCAGCCATCCGATTAAGTGTTATTACTAAGGTTCG